TTTTCACTTTCTTTCCCCTTTCCTTTCCCACTTCCTTTCCCTCTTCACTTTCTTTTTCCTTTCCTTTTTCACCTCCTTTCCCCTTTCCTTTCCCACTCCCTTTTTCCTTTCAGTTTCCTTTCCTTTTCCACTTCCTTTAACCTTTCCTCTCCCTTTCCTTTTCCATTTCCTCTACTTTTTCCATTCCTTTTCCATTTCCTATGCCCTCACCCCACCCCCAGCTCACCCCTCCATCCCAGCCGCGTGCAGGGCAATATCCCTCACTCCCCACCAGCTACCACCAACCCCCACATCCATCACAGGCACTCACAGCATCCCCAGCCTCACCAAGCCAGGCTGGGGCAGAGCTGGACCAGAGGAGCAAACAAATGAGGCAGGAATAAAGCTCAGTTCTCACGCTGGACCTCGTGCGTGGCTTGGGGTTATATTTCTCTCCCCATTTCTCCTCCGATGGACCAACTCTTTTATTATTTTTTTCCCTGCTTGCAATTCACTCGCCTTCCCATAACAAAGCCATCACCTCTGCCGCGGCTCCGCTCGGGGGAGACGAGTTACAATTACAAATTGCCACCACAATTAGTGCTACTTCTTAGAGAAATTAGAAAGGGAAGCACGAGGCTCGCGGGCGATTGATTGCTATTCATCCTGCTTTACGGTGACCTTGCTCTGGAGACGATGATATTCCTTCAGCCTGGAAATGGGGATGGGAAAAAAAAAAGAATTAATTGTAAATTAACAGTAATAACACACATTTCCTTTCAATTAATTTAAGCAGAATGAGGGGGCGTGAAGAGCAGGCGTTTGTTAAGGCCTGTACAGTTTAATTATTTTTTTTCCCCCACAAGATAATGTAATTAATTTATCTTAGAGGAGTGGGGGGATCAGCAGAACAAAGCAGTTAACAGGCAATGGAAAAATTAAGAGCCCATTATGTAAATGCAGCGTGTTTTACAGCCCTGGAGTTGGGGGGGGTGAGAAATAAGTAAAATAGGAGGCTGGGGAAGGCTGTAGGGAAGGCTGTAATCAGGCAGGACTGGTGCTGGGGGGACTGGTGGCATCCCACTGCTCAGGGGGAGCTGGGGGAGCACCCCCAGACCCTGAGTGAGGAAGGGGAAGAGCCCTGGGGTGCTGAGTGCCTCTTCCCCTGCCCTTGGAGAGTGTCCCACTCAGCTTCACAGACCTCAGGGAGTTGATGTTGATGAAACCAGTGGCGTCTGCTGGCTCATAGTCCCCTTGCACGTTCATGCTGTGGAGAGAAAGGCACTGTCACTAGGATGGGATTCCCAGGGGGAATTGGGGCTGCCCCTTGGGAAGGGAGAAGATGTGGGTGACCCCAGAGCCAGCTGCTCCCCCAGGCTGGTGCTGCTGCTGCCCCTTCATCCACTGCTGGTGGGTGTGGGGGCTCAGGTCAGGGTCCACACAGCCCCTGGGGAAGGGACACATGGGCTTGGGAGCAGTGGAGCTGTAGGACTGTCCAGGTGGCTGTCCCCAGGCTCCCCAGGCCCTGCTGAAGACACAGCCCCAAATTTCCCTCTGTGGTCCCTTGTGTGCATCGTCACCATTCCTCCCTGTGCTCTGGCACCAAGCAGGGATGGACAACCCTGTCCCAGAGTTGTCCTCCAGGAATGGCTTTCCCATGGCAGGCAGGATCATTGCTCTGGGAAGGGGAGTGGGTCCTGGGCAGGGGACACTGCCTGGGGCATGGAATGTGGTCCCAGGCAGGGCCATCCCCAGCTCTGATGCGTGGGTTTATGACCATGGCAGATGGTGCCTGGGTGCATCCTCCTCCCCAATAGTTTCCTACATCCCCAAAACACATGGCTGATTTCCCAGAAACCACAAACCTTAAAGGAGGAAGTGGAGGGAAATAAAGAAGAAAAAAAAAACCAGAAAGAGTTTACAACGATTTTACCTCCCCTGACGGGCTACAGAAAAACCTCTGTGCTTTTATTTTTGCTCATTCGAGTGGTTCTGACCTGCTCTATAATTACGTTACTTTCTACCTACTGTGCAGAGGCATTTCCACACAGCTCTGCCTCTCACAGCTTTCTCTCAGGTTCCTGTGACGCCGTCACTCAAAGGCTTTCAAACCAGCGATGTAGAAATCAAAAAGAAAAGGAAAATGGTTGGAGACGCAGGGAGAATAAGTGCCCCTGCTTTTCTCTCCCTCTCTCTTTTTCCTCTGTCCCACCCCCCTCCATCCTCCTTTTTTTTCTTCCCTCTTTTTTTTTTTGTGTAGTTTTTTAAATACTTTATTCATTTAATCTCTCCAAGTGAGAGTGCGAAGCATAATGAAGGGTTGGGATGGATTATTAGGAACTGTTGATTTTGAGGGGGAGGGAAGGGGGGAAAAAAAGCCAGAGAAGAGAAAGAGAGAAGATAATTTGACATTTACTCCGACTGATCTAAACTCATTCAGGTGTATTTATGGCTTATAAAATGTTTAGAGAGATTGAAAGGGGTTGAGGGAGGGCTGAGGGGGGAGCGAGCGAGCAAGAAAACAACATGAAGAAAAGGGAAAAGCCAGAGGGGAAAAAAAAAATCACGTTGACTTGAAAACACAGCTCGTGCTTTGGCAGGACACTGGGCTGGGAGGATGTGTCACCTGTGCCACTGGGGATGGGATGGAATGGAGTGGGATGCAATGAGATGGGATGGAGTGGGATGCAATGAGATGGGATGGGTTGCAATGGGATGGGATGCAACAAGGTGGGATGGGATGTGACAGGATGGAATGCTCAGTGCCACTACCCCTGCCCACCCTGGCCCCCCAAACCACACTCACCTCACCAGCTCCTCGTTGTAGAGTGACCGTGGGGACTCCCTGCCCAGGATGTAGACCTGGCCCTTGAAGACAGAGAGGTGGACAGTGCCCACCACTGGCTCCTGCGAGCGCCTGATGCACTGCCGGATGAACTCACACTCAGGGCTGTGCCAGAAGCCTGTGGGCAGCAGACAGGGTCAGCAGGGACACAAGGGAGGCTGGGATGCCCTGGGGTGCCCATGGTGGTCCCCCAGGCAAAGTCCTGCTCCCAGAGCAAGGGGCTAATGGGATCAGGGAAGCAGTGTGACACCCATGGAAAACTCCATCTACCCATGACCATGGCAAGTGCATCTCCCTCCTGACCCAGCTCCAGTGGGCACAGCAGCCCCCAGCACCCTAACCCTCCACCTGGGCTGAAGCCCAGGCTGGTGTTGGGGTGATGTCTGGTCACAGCACAGCCCCCCAAAACACATCCTGTGGGAACAGCTGTCAGCATTGCCAGCTGCCGAGGCCACTGTGGCACATGGTGGTTCTGCTGCTGCCTCCCATGCCCCCTCCTCCTGTCCCTAAGCAAGGTAATTAGTGAGGGAGCCCTCGGAGACCTGGAATAAAGCCTGGGAGATGAAGAAGGAGATAGAAGTGGATAGAGAAAGAGCCCATTCACCGCCCTCCGGTCATCCCCAGGTTTTATCTCTCCCATCGCCCTCCAGGCTCGCACACACAGGTGCCCTCTCACCTTTCCCTTCCCAGCTGTGCTCCAGGGCCGAAGCCATTAAAGAAACAAACAATTTCTTTTGTTGTTTGGCCTCGCCAGCCCCAGAGCCCTGTCCCTGCGGTCTGTGCAGCCCCATCCAAGGCACAGCATCCCAGCCCTGCAGCCCCTCACCACCAAAAACACCACCCTGAACAGACCACCCTCCCTCAGCTGCCCCACCACAGCATGACTGGGGGGTTTGGGGACCCTTTCCCTGCAATTAGCACTGCAGGAACCCCAACTCCAGGAAAATACACCCCTCTTTTTGGTAATCACCCAGGTTGTACCCTCCAGGTACATCTCTTTGAACATCAGGATTGATGTAGGGCTGTTATATCCCCATAAAAATAAACCCCAGACATTAAAATAATAACCAACTGTTTAAACCGTGCCTCTGACAGCTCCAGGTGGGAGGAAGCATTCCCCCCCTGCTCACCCCCTACTGCAGACACTGGAAGTGATCTCCCTTAATGACCTTCTCACCATCCTGCTCTAATCACAGCACAGGCAGAGAGACAATGGCATTTCTGCACCTGGATGTACCTGCCACGATGGGAACTGGCTTCAAAGCCACCCCTCCACAATAGGATCAATGGGAACAGGGGGAAAGATAAACACTAATTCTCCTAAAAACATGGACTAGCTGCAATAAGGAGGTGTTAAAGGAAGGTGAGCTTGAAATCCTGGCCCCTCTGGCATGGGGACCCACGGGTGCTGTTTGCATCCTGTTGGGGTTGTTCCTTGGATTGGCTGCCAGGGAAGTCTAGGACCATGCTGGAAATCCTTGGGGATTTAGCATCAGAAGCAAGGAAAACAGCAGCCTTTACTTGGCAGAGGTGGGGAGGGAGAAGTGAAACCACGATTCTCTTTAACTTGGTGGCTGCACAAGTGTGTGGTTAGAAATAAACAACCAGGTTTATGCTTAAACTAAAAAAAAAAAAAAACAAAAAAACAAAAAAGTTAAAATAAAGGCAGCCCGGGTCAAAGTCTAATAAAAATGGCCAGAGGCAGGAGTGGCACGAGAGGGCAAATGAGAGCAGGGGCTGTGAACCAAGGGGAAAGTAACCAAGACTTCTGCAGCCCCTGCCAGGGCACTAAAACACGATTTAAGCAACACATGGGCTCAGGCATTAAATGAGTGTTGCTGAGGAAGATGCTGGAGGGAATGTCCTCGGAGTATGTGCTGTCCTGGTCCAGGCTGGGAGCCTCTCCTGCAGCCCCCAGCAAAGCCCCAACCCGCAGTGCCCCTGTGTGGGCTGCACAACACATAGCACAGCCAGGACCCTCTGCCCTGCACCCCCAGAGGCTCCTGTGCCACACAGCCCTGCCAGGGCATGGGGAGAGCTCTCCAGCTTCAAACTCCACAGTGGGGATGGCCATGCCAGGAGCTTTGGTGCCCCATATCCCAGTGTGCTCCAGTCACCATGGGATCAGGGCAGGCAGAGAGGTGGAAGAGACCAAAGGGTAGAGCCAGGGAAAGGCAACACTAAAGGACAGTGAATTACAGCCTGTGAGACACCTGAATGTGTTGGATGGGATGAAGCAGTAGCACCAGGCTGGGAGAGATGCCGTGAGCATCACCTACCAGCAAGCCCCATGGAAGGTGCAATTGCCTCCCAAAGGCAGGCACAGAGCTCCCTCGGCAGGAAAGCAGGCAGAGACTGAGGCTGAGCTCAGACCAAACCCACCTTTCCCCACCATGAGTAGCCTCAAAATCGACACCTGAATTTTACACCCCTGAGCATGACTTGCATCCTCTGGCAGCAAGGAGGGAGGAGGAGGAGGAAGGCTGGGGAGGATGCTGCAGCTGGTCTGGGCTGAAGAACCATACGTACCATTGTACACCAGCTCGGAGAATTTCGAGGCAAGCCCCTGCTTGATTTTCCTCACTTCCCGGTCCATGGTGAAGGCCTCAATATCTAAATGTGCATGGTATAGGATCGTTCCTGCTGGGGTCTCATAGATACCTACCCATTTTTCCAGGCAGGGGGAAAAGCAGAAAAAGAGAGAGAAACGAATGAGACCAAAACTGTCAGCAAATGACAAAAAATAATGACTTGGCTGACAGAAGGAGCCGTGGTCGAGCGCATTCAGTCTCAGCTCGCTGTAAAATGCATCTGTCATTATATTCATGCTGGGGCCGAGACAGTCCACTCCGCACCTTGCGGAGAAAATTTCTAGATTCCCCTCTTTGAAGAGGCACTCTGACGAGGCTAAATGACAGGGTTTGGGAACCGATCCCCCCACCCATCCGTGCCCAACGGTCTGCGGCTGAAAACCTGTAATTAACGGAACGACGCGGGGCACAGGCACAGGGAGCTGAGGGCCTGAAATACCCTCCACTCCCCTCGGCTGGTGAGAAAGAGCCCTGTGTGTCTGCTGGGAAGCAACAAGACTACCTGGGGGCTGGGAGGGCAACCTCCTTTGGGGTTAGCAGGGCCCCCCCAGTCCCTTCCTGCTGTCCTCCCATTGCACAAGGCCTGGGGATGGAGGATGCTTAATTATTTTGGCAAGCTGCTCCTTTGTTCCAGCTGTTCAGGGCTTATTTGCTGCGTACCATGGTTACTTGGTGTTTAAATGCAGCCATGCAGTGCTCCCATCCGGGTTGGATGCAGGTGGAGAGACAGTGGGGGAAATGTTGAGCTAGACCTGCACTGAACATGTGTTGGGAATGGCTGTAACCTGCCCACGGTCAGGGCTGTTCCACCAGCGTGTCCCTGTCCCCTGCCTGTGGGGACAGTCCCCCACAACACCAAATATCTGCTATGGCACAGCCAAGGGAATGGCAAAGGGCAGTTGTACACTGGGTTTGCATTGGGTGCTTTGGGTTTTGCTGGGACACAATTAAACCCCAAAGGAAACAGTCCCCAATGAATGGGATATGTCCTCAACCATTCCCAGCCTTGAGAGAGGGTGAGTGGAGCCCACTGGGCTCAAAGCCTCACCAGGCTCTGCTCTCTCAGTGCCCTGGAGAGTGGCACAGGCTGCCCCAGAGTGGCCACAGACCCAATAGGAGCTCTATCTGCACAGCAGTCCAAGCCACTTCCATCAAATCTCATCCCAACCTGTGTCCACAAAGCATCCTACACATGGACAGGATCCAACTGTCCCAAAGGAGAGCCAACTCCTCCTCTCCAGCCACTCCAGGGATGTTGCAGTCCCTCTGAGGCTGCAGGAGCAGAGAGCTGAGTTAACACCAAAACCCAACTGTCCCCACAGACACAGGGGTGGCACAGAAATCTGTTCTATGTCCCCTACAGACCCTGACCATGGAGCTGAGCCTGCCACTAACACAATTCATATTCTCTGTCCTTCCACTTAGGAGGTGTTAAAGCCAATTTGGGCTGAATATTTGGGTATGTGCCTTGACCTCAACCTCCTGCCCATGTGCAGGCACTAGAGGACCAGGGACCAGCGTGTGCCAGCCAGGGCAGAGG